TTTGGGGATGACTACAGACTTGGTGGAACTCAACCAGAAACTGCATTCTGGTGAGATAGAGTCAGGTCAGTTCAGGTCCCCAGCTTGCCCCAAGTTACATGCATTAGGAATATGTTCATTTCAGTACACACATGAAGTTAAACTGACTCAAAGTGAAAAGCTGTAGTTTTAACATGAGGTACTGATGAAACTCTTGCACCAAGACCTCTTCTCTCTCATTTAGCCTAATCATGTACAAGAACTGCAAGATTGGTTACACATGATAGATTTTTCGATCTATAAAGATTTATAAAAATCAATAAAGATTTTTGAAACAAATATTTCAACTGAGTACATATATGTGTATTCCAGAATGACTTCTCCAGGAAAAAAATCAGAGCATGGCTCTGTGCACATGCTTTCACAAACCAAATGGATTGGTGGACTTTATTAATAATGATTTCATAGTCTGTGGAATATAATATTGCAGCAAATATCACAGTGCATAATGCTGTGTAGAGTGCACATAGTTTTGACTGCCATATTTCTGCTCATGCATGGAGGAACAACTTCAGCTATGTTTTAAAGAGCTTATTTGCAGAAAAGAGAAGATATGGTAACCTGGGCAGCAAGGTGCTCTGCTAAGCTTTACATTCTACAATGAAGCTTCCAGTGCTATCTTCTCATGTACTGTGATTTGAACTGAAACCAAGGTAGCTATACACATTTCACAACTAAGTGTCACAGTGTAGTGTGTTTTTAATGATGAAACTTAGCCATAAAAATCAGAGGTCTTGAAGTTAAAGGCTTAAGAAAAATGATCACTCTGAAAAACAGTGTGACCAGGTGTGGAACAGGTGTGATCTCTTCATGAAAAAAATGAACTAAGTTTGGCTCAGAATCTGCACTGCAACTTGGAGTGCAAAGACTACGGGTAACCAGAATGCCTCACCCACAAAGGGTGGAGAAAACATTTCTTCTTTCTTTTCTCCTTCAAGGCCCTTCAAAGTCAACAACTATGCACTGTATACCATGATGGATGCTGAGATAAATGCAGCGATTACTAATTTGTTAAAACAGGAAGAATGTGAGATACAAATCTTCACTAGAGGAGGTTCAGACTGAATATTAAGAGAAATTTCTTTATCATAAGAGGGATTAAACACTGAAACAGGCTTGCTAGAGCGGTAGTTGGCTTCATGCCTTTCAGAAGAATTTGGGTAATGCCTTCAGTAACGTTCTTTCAGTGCTGGTTAGCCCTGAAGCAGTCAAGTAGTTGAACGCCATGATCTTGGAAGGTCCCTTCCAGTCGAACTATCCTAAGTTACCATCCTGGCCTGCATCAGAAATTTCAACACAAAAATTCCCAACTACAAGACAAGACTTGGAAGGTAGACGGTTCTTTACGAAATCGTACAACTTCCTCTCAAAATGATGCAAGCAGGTATAATGTTGATGGCTTTGCTGAGAATTACTAATGCAATATGGGTTCTGCATGCAATGGTGAAAATTTTTCAGCATTCAGATGAATAATAAATGCCTAAAATGCTCTCCAATGACCAATGCAAATTTTGTACCTCTGACATCTACCTGAATTTGGATTTCCAATCATGAGCAAAATCTCCCACTTGTAATGTGCAAACCAATGTATTTCAATGTTTCATATGTTTCAGCTTTGCTGTATTGTGCTCTGATGAGTAAGAACATTGTACTTTTCATGTTTTGTAATAATTTCAGCTCTCTCTGTCAGTAAGAGAGATTCTTTGAATAATGTATGCAGTGCAAAAATGAACAGGGTTTAAATAAAACACTGAAGTTGGAAGGGGAAAGGAGAGGAAAGACTATCTCCAAACTGATACATATCGGATTCATTTTGCTGACTTACAACAAAGTCCTTGTGCTTAAACAACCTGTTTCACGTGCATTCACACTTAATTGTGCGTAGGCCTTTTTAAAGAAAACACAAATGTGCATGACAATCATCAGAAGACAGATATTAAATGGAATATACAAAATTATTCCAGTTCCAAAGGCACTTCTGAACGCATACTTGATTGTATGTTTATATTGAATGAAAAGAAAAAATACCCCACAGTTTTCCAACATTGCAGTGGGTTACCCACCAACATACCCTCCATAATCCTTTGAAATAGTCTGTTTAGGGTAACACATCCCTAACACATCCAACGAGCCAGGCGTTGAATCTTCACAAGTAACCTCTGTGCACGTGGAAACAGATCCAGAGGTAAGTGGTCATGTCTCAGACCTTCATGCATGAACTCACATGAGTATTCAGTTATCAGCAGCTCTAATGCTTTTGTACTTCGTATCTGGAGACGTGTGCACAGAGGAATTTTTCTATACAAATAACAAGGTCCAAAGCCACTGTTTAATAGTGGTTCAGGAAAGAGTTATCATTTTATATTACCATGAAATCATTTAATTCTGAGCTGATGGTGGGGGTTCTTTAATTAGATTAGAAAACCTCACACATCTGTGCTTTAGAAGCCTCTGTCAAGCCAGGAAATTCAATCACATGGAAGTCAGTGTCCTCCAGCTATCAGACAATTGATTTTTGCAGGATTCTGCTCATATTTAGCTTAAAGGACATGTGATATGTTTATTCACTTGTCAGTCACTTTGCCTTTGTTTCATTAGTAGAACATTTGTTATTTAAAATACATTCCTCAGCATTATATGAAAAATGAGAAACAGATTTTAGAATGAGTCTGCAAAATATAAACACCAAGGTGGACTAAAAATACATGTTGGTTTAAGTGGGAAGCACAAAGCTGAAGAGGCCTGCAGGGTTATGTCTATTTAATATAGTTACAGAATTATAGTAGTATACACATATATAAACATATACATTTATTTTCTTTCTTTCTCTGCCTCCCCCTATACTGTACAGATTTATCATCTCTGAGTTATTAAATTCTTTAGAAATAAAAATGGGTTCGCTTTAATGAAAAAAAAGAACAAGGTTATGAATCACTATTTCTATAGATTGTAGCAAATAGAAGGGGACATGTTTTCCTCTGTTAAGATACTCAAGCTGAAATAACCTGAGGTGGTTGGAACAAGAGAAGAATCTGCTGTGGATCATTGAAATTAGGGAAAGTTTCGGACAAACCCTTGTTTGAATCCAAGGCATTGAAGTCTGACACACAGAAGTGGTTCAACTTTAGATAATCTTAAATGTATGCAAATCAGAATTAATTCACTAGAACTCCAATGGAAATTCTCCACAATACCCTTAATCCAAAAAGTAACAATTGCCTCTGAAATTATTTGGCAGAAGTAGATGGGTAGGCAGAATCTGAGATAATTGACTTTATCTAAAGCTACTGATTTCAATATTTTTAGTCCCTTCCTCCTTCACTAAAAACGAAAGTTTAAAAAAAGCTCCCATGTCATTTGTCTTCACAGAATATGAAATCGGCGCCTGAAAACTTGACACGCATTGTAATGTTTTCTCAATGAACTACACCTGCACACATCTGATGCCTCCCAGTTTCAAAAGCCTTTCTGAAATGCTTCCTTCTCATGGAATTTGATATTGATTTTCATGCTAAAGACAACTAATACACTGCTTAATATAGAATTCACACTTAATGGGACATCAGTCTTTCCTGCCTGAAATGAATGGAGCCATTTTGGCAGCTCTGAAGCTTTTCCTGTTAAATAAGGTGGCAAGGTCATCTGAAACTTATAGTACTGAAGACTCATATAAATAAATTTAGTGCACATTCAATAAATTATATATGAGAACTGCACAGTGCTTGGCATGTTTACATATTAAAAGATGGCTGTGAGAAGCTGGGGAGAAACCCAGAACATATTTTAAAGGCACAGTAGACAGGAAGACCTTCTCCAGCTCATTTCTATTTTAAACTCAATAAGCAATGCCACTCAGGGCATCTATATCCAGAGGCAATTTGTTCCTGAATGAAGAGAAGGGGTTCAAAAACTTAAAGGCCACAGAGGAAAACCCAAAAAATTAATTCTGAAACATGAACGTAACGTTCCTAACAGCCCTCAGCTTTGCCATACTGTATCCCACTGTCTTATGTAATAAAATACATTCCTCCTTATCAGCCTGACATACATGAAGTTAAATAGAAATGATGCTCTGCTGCTCTCCGAGACCAAGCACTATTCAGCATGTGTTTCAGCTAAAGACCCTAAGGTGATCTAAATGTAGGAAATTCACTTAATTATAATCTGTTAAAAACAATAATAAAAAAGATTAACTGTTACTGTTATTTGGTAAGGGCATTTCATTTTCTGTTTCCCTTTCATGGCGTATGTGAGCCTGTGTGTGTGTGTGTGTGTGTGTAGAAAATATATAGTAGGAAGAGAATATTTGTTCCAGTTGAGGTGGTCTGTGAAATCAAGTAGATCAGATACTAACTTGACTTGGCACCAATGTATGGATGCATAGAGACATATCCACAGGATGTATGCATTACGAGATGATAAGAGACATTTACAACCTAGAATATAAGAGCAGGGCTGCCTCAAGTGACATCACCAGATCAACTGCAGCGTCAACCGACTCAGATATATAATCCTGCACACCACTGCTTCCCTATCTCCTTTCCAAGCATTAACAAAGCATTCATGAGCATACACATTCTTGTATATTTCCAAATACATGCAAGGCACGTCATATCCGAACACGAACAAGAGCAACAGTGGGGTTTATGGATGGATCGAGACATTCATAATTTTTCTTTACGACAACAAAATTCATCTCCATAGAAACCAGAAAGCGAGAAACTACAGGAATAACACTAAAGTAAATGTCACATCAGGTTAGTGAGCACAAGGCAGGCGAGGGGACTGTGCTCCAGTTAGGACTAATAAGGACTGCTGCCCCCCCCTGCTCTTCTGCTACAGTATCTACACCAAAAACAGACTTTCTGCTGTATTTCCAATGCACGACAGCAATGTGATCTCCTGTTATTTTCATTGCAATTCACCCGTAAGCTGGTCAGATCAATGGCACGTTTACTTACAGGCATTTGTTACAGCGAAGCTGTTAGCTGTTTCAATGTTGTCTACATGAGGAACCAAATTAAAAGGTGCTTCGGAGGCATTGGGGCTGGTGTTATGAAGAAAAATTGCTAATCGAAAAGCAGTATATTCCTGATCTGTGTTCCTGATGAAGAGACCACCTACAAGAAAAAAAGAAAGAAAAAAGAAAAAAAAAAAAAATAGCAAGACGCAGAGGAGGCAGGGTGAATTGCTGGCAAGCTACTGTCTTGTAACACCAAACTGACTCTCCCAAAGCTGCACAGTAAGGAAAGTCCTAAGACTTTAATGGGCAAGGAACTAATCACATTCATAATCACAATCGCTGCCTTTAAATCACTGTTCTCAATCGATATTCACCACCCCGACGCTTTATGCTTCTTTCCGACTTCTCGGTTTCCAGCCTTTCACATGTAAATACCCCGATTTGCCATGATTACAGTGACCTTTGGAAGTGTTTAGCCTCCATCTCTCTGCGACTGAACACACTGCTAAATCAGCTACTCAGCAGCCTCTCACATGAAGTGGCGGGCTGATTAAGGGGAACGATGCTTTCCGGATTAAAAAAAATATCCACTCTGTGTCGGATAATCTGCACTAAACAGGAATATAATTAACTTTGCTCTTCCACGGCCATGTGCAGGCAGGGAGCCGCTCAGCTCTGCTAGCAGCATCTCCACAAGTCCACGGGCAATGATGCAGCGATGGAGATGAGCTGGAAGGAATTCAGATAGCTGCGTCCCATCCGAAACGCGCCCGGACGGATGGAAGCGGGAGGCGATGGGAAAAGGATGAGGAGGGGGCACAGAGCCTAAGCGGAGAGGCTTTCAAAACCCCAAACTTTCCAACTACGGGAAGGGAAGGCAGGGCTGCCTTACAGCCCCATGCCTACGCTACCGCAACCTCAGCGCAAGGAAATGGGAAGCCGGAGGGGGCCGAAGCAGCCCAGTAGCATCTCCCCGGGCGCTCTCCCCTCCTGCCGACTCTGTGCACCCCGGGGCTGGAATGAGTTGGGAAGAAGATGAGCATCCTTCCTACAGCACGCAAACACACATACACACACACACACGCGTACGCACACATACACAAATGCACGCGGGCTGTCAACGAAGGCAGGGAAATGGGATGGTGGTGGAGGAGAAAGCTGCAAGCTGCCTTCAGAGCCGCCTTCCCAACTCACTTCGCAAAGGCTCGAACCCCTGAGCACCCGCACACAGCCCAACGCAGCGCTTACCTATTTGCACGCTGCTAGGAAAAGCTCCCATTGCTAGTCCCCAAAAGCCAGAAAACAACAAGACAAGCTGTCTGCAAATTATCCTCATCTTCTCTTTTGCCTCTCTCTCGCCTTCTCCCGCTCGCTCGCTAGATGCTGCTCAGAGAGGCATTGAGGACGAGGCGGCTACAAACAAAATCAAGAATTTAAAAATAAAAAAATAAAAAAGAGGGAAGAGGGGGAGAAAAAGAGAGGTTTTCTCCTTTCTTTTTCTTTTTTTCTTTTCTTTTTCTTTTCTTTCTTTTTTTTTTTTTTTTTTTTTTTTCCAATTTTTATTTTGCCGTTGCTTTAGGATTTGCTGCCTATTCTCTGCCGCTCTGCTTCTCTCCCCGCAGCCGCCGCAGTTTCAGCAAGCCATCCCGCCGCGCCGGGCTTTTCCCGCAGTCTCCATCGCCGGGGAGCGGTTTGTGTCCGGCTGCGAGCGATGCACATGCAGAAGATGGTGGTGAGTTTGGCGGCGGGGGGGAGCGGCTGGCGGCGGCGCGGCGCGGGCGGACATGCGCCTTGCTCCCCATGCCCCCCCTCCCCCCTCACCCCCCCCAGTCCCCGCCGCCGCCGCCGCCGCCGCCGCCGCCTCCCGCACCGCCGCGGGCGGACAGCGGCCGCGCACGTTCCGCGCCCTTCCGCGCCCTCCGCGGAGCCGCCTCGCGGAGTCCCTGCGCTTTGTAGACGCGCCCCGCAGCGCCGCGGCAACGCAGATGAGACCTTTCTGGTTTAATTTTTTTTTTTCTATTTTCTTAATTATTTTATCATTCTTTATTTTCTTTTCCGCATATCCGGAACTTTGCACCGCGGGGACAGAGCAGAGGGGCCAAGAACTAGGAATGCCTCATCGCGCTGGGCTGCTGCAGCCCGGGGCCGCTGTCATCAAGCAGCTGTTGTTGTTAATGAAGGTGGCAGAGCGCATCCACCTGCACTGAGCTGCGGAGGTCGGGGGGAGGGGGAGCGTCCCGACAGGACCCCCCTCTGTCGGGGTTTGCGGCAGAGATGGGGGCGAGGGCTGAGGATGCGCTCAGACCTAGCGGGAACCGCTGCCAAAAGGAGGGAGCGAATGAAAGGAAAACTTCCCTGCTCCTCCACCTCCCTCTTATTCATTTATTTTAACCTTCGGTGGGAAAAAATCACAGAGCTTTTTTGCAACCAAACACTTGCCTTTGTGTTTGAAGCCTTGGAAGTTCCGCCAAAGCGGCTGCCAGAGGTCTGGGGAAATGGCAGTTAATAATTAAAAGACGCGTGTAATAAATGATAGGTAATGAAGTCATCCCAAAATAGCTGTGTGTCAGAGATGGGAATTTCTGGTTTTACCTGTGGCTTTGCAGAGATTTCTGCGCAGAACAATCAGATCCTCAGTAAATTAATATTGAAATGTTAATTGGCAATATGGAAGAATATCGATTTTTAAGGTGAACTTTGTTGGTTTGTGTTCAAACGCATTTGTTCCAAGACCAGAACTCTGTCTGATTTCACCCAGGCTTCTTTTCTTGCCATATTTCTGTACCGTACCAGGGAGAAAGAAATCCTCTTGAATTGCTGTGGAGGGTGACAGTGATTTCTGAAGAATGATGCAAAGACTGAGCAAAGAGCACTGAAAACAGACGCATGAAGCTATTTGCATGGCATATGCACCTGTGTGTGACTGTGTGTCTGTGTGTGTTTTTGGTAGAGTGTGGTGTTCCTGCAAATAAATTACTCTTTGAGAGATTTCTTCACAGGTCAATGGTAAACAGACTTCATCTGCACATTGTGATACCCATTCCTTTATTTTTCAGTAGGTCTTCAACTTTCCTTTATTTTCCCACCACATATTCCCATCTGTCTCTGAGTCTGTCGACTCGTGCTGCCTGTTATTTACCAATGGCTTTTTGTGACCTCTGGTTTTGCTCTTGCTTGTCTTTTTCTTCTTCCTGCCTGCCAAGAAATCTTTGTCTCTCTCAATTCTCCCCTAAGTACAGTTCTCCCTTTCTTCCCCCATCCTTCGGCATTCAAATTTTTGACTTTGGAAATCAAGGGAAAATATAGTAATAAAGATGGAGTAAAATTTCCATTCCATAGCAGCTGGATGATTATTCACTATTAGTAGCAAGTAAACCTGGAAACACTGAGTTGACATGTGGATTTCATGGCACATATCATAGAATCATTTGAGTTGAAAGGGAACCTTAAAAGTCACCTAGTCCAATTCCCCTGCAGTGAACAGGTGAACAGGGACATCCACAGCTCGATCAGGTTGATCAGAGCCCCATCCAGCCTAACCCTGAGTGTGTTCAAGGATGGAGCATCCACCACCTCTCTGGGCAATAATGCCAGTGCCTCACTGCCATTATCGTAAAAAAATGTTCTGCCCATATTCAGCCTAAATCCTCCCTCTTTTAGTTTGAAACCATTTCCCCTTGCCCTGCCACAACAGACCCTGCTAAAGAGTCTGTCTCCTTTTTTCTTGTAGCTCCCTTTTAGATACTGTAAAGCCACTCTCAGCTCTCCCCAAAGCCTTCTCCAGGCTGAACAGCACCAGCTCTCAGTCTCCATTGTAGAAGAGGTGTTCCGTTCCACGGATCATTTCTGTGGCCCTCTTCTGGACGTGCTCCTGCAGGTCCATGTCTCCCCTGTACTGAGGACTCCACATCTGGATGCAGTACTCCAGGTAAACAAGATAAGGATTTTAGACTCACAGCCGTTGTGTTGGCACAGTGTGTTTCTGTCTATCAGCTGAACTAAGGAGTATGTTTTATATCGTTTTCAAGTATAATGGTAACATGTTAACTTAAATTTAATTCGAGAATCTGCAGGAGACTATTTCATACAATGGTCTAATTTGAAGTGACCAAGAGTCTCTCTCAGCAGTTCCTACATAAAATCTGTAATTTTTGTTGGAGTAAAACCATATATTTTAGCAAAAAACCAATCTTGATTTAAAGACTTCAAAAGACAGGAAATCCATCATTTTCCTGGATAAGTTGTTCCAGTTGTTACCTACTCTCATTCGTTAAAACCCTCATTTCCCTAGCTTTGGTTTCTAATATTTGTGATTAGAGATAAACCCAGTGTTCCAGTAGCAGTATCACTCAGAGCTGTTCCTGGAGATGATCCCATCCTCTTCTTGATAGTGCCTTGAGTAGACATCCTGAGTAGACATTCCTGAGTTCTGGAAAGCAGAGGAAAAAGAAACAGGAGGATACCACCATATAGCTGTTTTGTTTAAGTGACACAAGGGAAGAAGAGACAGGTTGCAGTGTCAAAGGGCAAAAGTTCAGTTCAGCAGAGTTTGGCAAAGGCATGGTAGATGACCGAGTATTTGATCACAGTGTTTACCTTTCAGAAGAGCTGGGACAGGAAAGGCAAGAGGGATATAATCAAGACTGAGGTGAAGAGTGAAGAAGGGGAGGTAGGTTTTTAAACTGCTGCTGCCCATCCTCAACAGGTCACAGGGAAGAGCTCATGGGTCAAGATAGGACAGGGAGACCACTAACCAGTCACTGTCAGAGGCAATGAGGACTTGATTTGGGTAAAAGTAATTTACTAACAATTAAAAAAAGAATTCTGATGGTGAGAAATGATTGAAAAGTGTTTTACTGAATATTCAAGCAGTAAGGATGGGATGGACTAGAAGGGATCTATTGGCAGTGAATGCTTTCTTTGCCTTAGGGCACGTAGCAGCTCTTACTGGCCTTGCCTGGAGGCCACTGCTGGAGAGGACTCCTTTTTCAGAACATCAGCTGAGATGCTGACTATCTGCTGCAGCACCTGAGTGAATCCTGCTGCAGAAGGTGTATAAATACAATGCAGTTTCCCTCTGGCAAGGATTGAAAACATTTAGCTGTTTTCTTCATCAGACAGACGTGTGCTTGGAGTAAATATGTTTATGAAGAGACCTGGAAGGAAGAGGAGGAATATGAGAAGATTTTTGCTATAGAAGAAATGAAGGCTGTATGTTAGCCAGGAGGAGTAAAACTACAGAGGCATCCACCTTATGGAAATCCCAGAGAAAAACAAGATATGAAGTAGATACAGATACTTTGTCATATGGACAGAACTTTAATGCATATGTACTGATAAATACCCATATGCTGAAGTAGCAACTTTGATTCATATTTATACATTCTTGCATTCAACATATAAATCCTAGCTACGCAATCTGTTAAGAAGGCATGTTGTTATGGTTTTGAAGACATGTAACTTTGTGAGGGAGAGGAGGACTTGGCTGAGAAAGGCATAAAGAAGCTATACAATTACCAAGGATAGGTTGAGAATTAGGAGTATGGAGATGACAAAAGAGGAAGATAAGAGTAAGAGATACAGAAACAAAAATCCATCACCACTCCTCCCAGGCAGATTCTAGGTGCACTGAGGCAGTGACAGCATGAAAACAGAGAACATCCTCCCTCTGCCCTGTGTGCCAGTGCTGCTGAATGAACTTCTTCTGAGTAGGCAAATGTCTGTGCCATAAAGGCTCCCCATGGCACAGCCATCTGGGCAGAGATCAATCTGGAAACTAAATTCAGTCATTTAGATTAGTCTTGCTTCAGATATGACTTTCATGATGTGGTCAGCGTGAATGCTTCAGCAATAAAGAAAACAATTCGCTCAGCAACCTGTCCTTTCTTAGTCCTTTCGTGCCTTATGATATGTTGTAGCTCACACATACCTGTCAGATAGATCCATTAGACTGTAAACTCTGGGACAAAGATATTTCTTCTGTGAAGTGCTTAGCACTTCTGGGCAATAAAAAGTAAATAAAATACAAATCATTCATCTAGAACTGTTTACACTCCACCCTTTGGCATCATCTCACATCACCTCTTGAAGCGATACCAGCAGTTATGAATAGATAAGCAGTGCACCAGAACAAGGCAGTTAGCCAGATAGGTTCCTTTCAGTCACAGAACTCATTTTCAGGAAATTGCCTTAGTGCTTTCTTGCATTTTTGTTCTTATTGACTTATTTTTTATTCATCTAAATGCTTGGGTAGCCAGAACAGGTAATTATTTTTAATAGTGCTTTTCATTAACAGTGTTATGTTGATATTGAGGCAGGGGTAGCAAAAACATTTGGCTTTGAATGCATTCATCCACTGCTCCCATTCCTTTCTGCCACAGTGTCTGCAAATGTTCTTTTCAAATGTACCAAGTTTAAGAAATTAAATATATATGCTAAGAGATCTTGACCTTGAAAGGAAAGACTGTTGTGATTGTCCTGCAGAAAGCTAAAAAGGTTGATTATACTTTAAATCACAGTAATATCAGTCATGATTATTCCAGTTTGAGAGAAATGTTGATAGAATTAATTAACTTAGACCTCACGCCCAGTTAGAAGAACATCCCATATCCAGAATTAACTGGTGCAAAGTTATTGGGGAAAGATATGAGAATCTGAGCAGCGGTTCATTTAAACTTGAGGGAACTTCAGAGAAGTCCTTCCTCACTAAGAGCTCTCAGCTTCTGACAGTCAGGGAATTCAGGTTTTTAAACTGAAGATTTCAGAGGGGTCAATGTGTTGAAGAGTTTCCTACAGTCATAACTTCCGTGTATTTATCCAGTTTATCTTAAGCATATTTTATACATTGTGTCCACATTATCCTATGCAAATGAGCTCTAAAACTCATTCTAAGAAGTTCTTTTATTTAGTCGGTTTTACATCTTTCATATTTGCCATTCTTGGCACTTTGCTAAGAAAAAAGAGGTAAAAGCCATTTACCATACCATATCACCCATAGTTATGTATACCTTCATAATATTACACTTCACCAATGTCTCTTTCAAGATGAAGAATCCATCCTCCAAAAATTCTGTCCTCCTATGTTCTATATTCTGTGCTATATACTAGAGCTCCATGCCACTGCTCTCTCTATGCCTTCTTGCAACTTTTGAAAAAGTAGGACATCCAGAATAGGACACTTCTTTTTTGAGGTGTAAAAGTGTTTTCTGTTTTATTCATTTACTTGCCTAGCTGTTCCTAAAATGCCATTTCCTTCTGAGCATGCAGGTAGTGTTTGTAGAAGACTGCCAACAAGGACTCCAAGATCCCTTTCCTGAATGGTAATAACTAATTTAGAATATATAGTTTTCTTAAAATTATTTTTCCCATGTGCATTGCTTTGCATTTTTTTTTTGATACTGAATTTCATCTGCCACTTCATTGCTTCAGTCAATTAGTATTTTGAGATTCTTTTGCAATACTTCCCAGACGGGAAGGTCCCTGTAAATTTCATAGAAGAGCAAGATTGGAATCTATGCCCTTTAAATTTAATCTCATCTTTGTTACATTTTTAATGGTGTAATACGTTTCTTCTGGTCAGATTTATAACCTGATCTGCATCATGGGATGTACCTGAGGGAGTAAGAATGTTTGAAGCAATGTTTCTTTCCTAAGCACAGCTTATCGCAGTAGTGAATGCCAGGCAGGTCTGAAGGATGGGGCCGTTTCCTCATCAATTAGAGATGTGTGTATGTGGAAATTGCACCAACTTAAATGCATTCCACCTGAGCTCATCTGGCCTATTTTTATAGTGAAAAATATCAAGTTTTTGCTAATGCTGGTTTCTTCACATCACTTCTAATAGTACTTGGATCCCAAGCACAAATGATGCATGAATGATTGCTAGTCTTCTAGTTGCTGTATGGGCTATACTTATAATAAGTTTACATGAAATACCATTTAAAATAAATGGACAAGGGCTGCTTCAAAAGTAATGCCTCCTATTTTATTATGCTTGCTCATGATGTTAGAGGTGAATGCTGGTGATATGGCCATAGAAGTTGAATCTTCCCACCAATATTCTGTTACATTTTGTTGCTTTGAGAGAGATGGCAGCAGAGGAGCAGTCCAACAAATTGTCTTTGTATCTGCTGCAGTTTCCATGGAAATAAATAAGGAGGCATTACTTTCGGAGTGACCTAACCATTTTGTTTCAGGTTTTATGCATGTCTTTGCTGAGTATTCATCTGAGATAGAAAAGTGAGAGTGCTTCCAGCTCTGCTGCTGTATCTGATTTGTTGTCATCCACACTGCAGAGCATGGTCAATGTGGCCATTCCCTGAACGGGAGGGTGTAGGTCATAAAACTGTTCACCAAATGCTCCTCTGCAACAGATAAGAGGCATGCATATGGCCCTCCTGAACCATGGAATTTTTAAATACTGTATTTTTTAACTGGAAACATCAGGTTGATTCTATATTGCCTAACTGTACAAAATCTGAGGCATTTAAAAACCCCTGCAGTTGAAAACTTTCCAATAAAATTGAGTTCAGCATGGAATAATATAGAAGGAATCTGGGAGAAAATCACCAGGAGACAGAAACTCAAGTTAGATAATTACAGATATTTGGAATGTGAATTACTGTGAATAACATTGTTTTTCCATAAATGTTTATTTTTCAAATGAAAAAGGACAATTTCATTGGATTCTGTAAAGAAAACAAGAACAGCAAAGCCAATATCAAAACATCATGCTATTTCCTTGAAAAAAATGGATTTTTCTCCAATTTTTTTTTTTTCCAACAGTTGATAGAAAATACATTTAATGATCTGACCAGTTCTTGTTAAAATATCTTGCTGTAACTTCTGTGACATAATGTAAGCAGTTGAGTCAGGAAAAAGTCACAACAGTATAAAGAATGGCTTCTGCTCACGACCCAGAGCAGCTCCATCACTGCATTGACCTAATTAACATTATCCATAAAACACAAACAGAAAATTCACCTTTGTCTGAGGATGGTAGATTTTTTAGTTCTTGTTCTCTCCAATGCTTCCACCCACGTGAAGGGGTGAGCTGGGCACTCTGTGGCTCATGCTGGATATTCCAGACTCACCACATCAGCTCTAGCTGCAGAAGCCTCAGTATGGTTGATGGCAGATGGGCAAAGAGGATGTAGTCTAGATGGCAGATAGGTGAGAAGAAAGGAGATGGGAAGATTGTTGAGCTGGCAATGAAGAAGCCACTGCCCCATGTTTTTGAAATAAATTTGATAGAAAAATTTAAGCACAAAAACTAGGAAACCCTCAATGCTATTTCTACAGAATCATACTTGTAGAACGTAACTGCAGTTTGATACACTAAATTGTTCATTAAAATAAAATTAGTTTTTGTTAGGCTTCTTGCCAATAACAAGGATTATTTTCACCCAAGTATGCCCCGTGATCTAGTCTTATCTTTCTGCATTCCAAACTGACCCATATCAGTAAATCTGAGACAAATACAGTGCCATCATGCCATTTGTACTTTTATATTAAAGCATTAATTATTTACATGAAGCTATTTCCCAGCTCTGGAGGGAAAAAAAAAACCAAACAACAATAACAAAAAAGGTCAAGAAATTTAATGCTTTTCTTAACATACACAGATTCTACTTTTTACTTAATTTTTGTATTAATTAGAGCTCATACAGTAGAGCTCATACATAGGGTATGCATTGGGATGCATTAGGGGATGCATTTTCAGCCCGTAGTTTGAATATTCTTACTTCCTTTATTCAGTGGTAGAGTTGAGGTTTATCTCAAATAAATCTGTCTGTCTGTCTTAGCTGTAGCCCTCTTCCAGCACTTGTCCCCACAGCCCACAGCAAAAGCTACAGATTAAGTAATTGCTGCCATTCAGCTGTAGCCACGTGCTCTCTGTTTGTACAACTAGGATTTGTTTTCCTAGAAAATCAGAACACTCTGATGCCTTAAGTGCTGAAAGCCTACCTGGTATTTGTTCTGAAGTGTGTGTTCTTAGGAGTATACTGATGATCAATACACATCTGTTTTCAACCAGTTAACTCTTTAAATATGTATATATAATGGGGTTCTTCTAACCATACTCAAAGTGGGTATGTCCATTGCATTATAAGGTGAAGTTACATGAAGCAAGTCAGGGCTCGAATGATCTCATCTGGCACCAAAATCCCTTAAAAACAATTAATTTTGAAGCTGTTGATTTATTTATTACTTAATAAACAGTGATTCATACTCTGTGAGTCAGGTCAGATTTTGTTTACAGTCACATTTTTTAAAATAATCCCAAATACAATTTAGAACAACTTCCTCTGTCTTTAACAGTGCTAACTAGCACTGTAATAGAAGAAGGGTGCCTTTTGGGGAAGAAAATGTGCTCTGTGAAAGGGCGGAATTATCTAACCTTATGTCATTTAGAGCACTCATAAAAAATCCATAAATGGTCCTTGCTAAAGCACATCATGTGGCCACTGAATTAGAAATGCAGGGATGGAATAGATTTCCAAAGGTTACATGGTTCAGTCCCCTGGCGCTGGGGAAGAATCAAATACAATGGAGTTTCCCACAGAGAATTTTTCTGGAACATATTTTTTTAGAATTTCTGCCAAAAGACATTGAGGGTGTCCTGTTCAAGATTTTTCCTCTCAATTTTACCTTAGTATTTGGCCTATATAGCCTTTACTGAAAGTTGCACTGGGTTCCTTTTGTCATTCTTTCTGGTGAACAATGAGTACCAATCTATCACTGTCTTTCTTATTAACAGCTTTCTGTACCCTGGAAGATTTATCAACTCTTTACCTGCCTAGACTAAAGGAACCCCATTTCTGCAGTCTTCTTTCATGGATAATGCATTCTGAGTCGTCTTCTCCATCTTGCTGTTTGTGCTGTGGGCTTTCCACAGTGACTACCGGTGTTTTGGAGGATGGTGCTGAGGACTGCTTCAGCTGCACTTTCCTGGGGAGCAAAGAGGCAATCCCCACCCAGATCTTGCCTGCAAAATTATTGACTGCAGGAGGTATTTCTGTCCTTCCTTTCCAGTTATACTCCATGTTGATCACACCTCCTCGTTCCTAATGTTACAGAATGCATGTTCTTCTTCCTCATTTGTCATTTTGAGTTTTCATTACTCCTTACTAGTTATTGTGCTCTGAATTTCCTTCCTTCCTTCCTTCCTTCCTTCCTTCCTTCCTTCCTTCCTTCCTTCCTTCCTTCCTTCCTTCCTTCCTTCCTTCCTTCCTTCCTTCCTTCCTTCCTTCCTTCCTTCCTTCCTTCCTTCCTTCCTTCCTTCCTTCCTTCCTTCCTTCCTTCCTTCCTTCCTTCCTTCCTTCCTTCCTTCCTTCCTTCCTTCCTCCCTTCCTCCCTTCCTCCCTCCCTCCCTTCCTGCCTCCCTTCCTGCCTCCCTTCTTCCCTCCCTTCCTGCCTCCCTTCCTGCCTCCCTCCTTCCCTCCCTCCCTCCCTCATTCTCTCCCTCCCTCCTTCCCTCCCTCCTTCCCTGCTTCCCTTACTTCCTTATTTTCAGATTATGTCTTTATTAAGACAGTTTTGAATTCTGTAGTTGTTCACCAGACTTCTATAACCCTTCAGTAACCCTAGCACACCTACAGATTTTATACATTAACTTTGAAGGGCATGTACTTAATGAAATGTTAAGGACAGTTGGGCATGAAATCTCATAGGGAGCCAGCTTGAAAGGAAGTCCCTGTTTGGTACTGACAGTTATTCTTACAGAAGAGCTTTTCAAGCCACACAGTCTTTTATGATTTTTTCATCCAGACGACATTTACCTTATTTTCCTTTGATAATTGAATATGGAAAATATAAAAAGCCTCCTCAAACTCTCAAACTCAAGACGGAGTAAATTTTGTTTTTCTTTATTCAGTATTCTTGTTATCCTGTCCAAGAAGGAAATTAATATGGTTTGACATAATTTGTTCTTGAAAAGTACATTTTGGCTATTTTTATTATTCTGCAAGTAAGTTCACCATTTGCATGTTTATTCATTTTTTTTCCTGTAGTCCTGTAGTTAGGTGAAATAATCTGTTTTCTTCGAATCCTCTATTATCCCTCTCTATAAGATGCCCAGGTTCTTGTTTTCTGAGACCATCTCTATTTAATATGACTCCT